GGAAAATCAAAAAAAACATCTTTAAACTTTTTATTTAAAGTTTCATCGGTTAAATTACCTAAAACTTGCTGAACTGATTTATCACACTTTTCAAATTCATCCAAAAGAATAATCGGTGCTCGGGTTTTATATTTAATCATAGTTTTTAAGATTTCTCCTACTCCTGCCCCAGCCCATTCTTGGGGAACTCCGAAAAATATACTAGTTTCTTTTTTACCATTCATGCTAATAACTTCAATCTCTAAGCCCATAGCCTCGGCTAACATTTCACTAATAAAAGATTTACCGACACCAGGAGGTCCTAATAATAAATACATTTGACAGGGTTTATCAATCTTTTTTTCGGTCAACCTATTATAACCCCTTACAAAAGAAGCAATCATTTTTTTAAACTCTTTAAAGCCCACTACTCGGTTTACTTTGGCTCAATAACTAGCCTCTTGTAATTCTTTATCGGAGGCTTCCAAAGGTAATTTTTGCTCGGGAGTTCCTACTTCACAGACTTTTATTTCTTTTTGGTAGGCTTCAATTAAAGCCTCGGTAAAGGTTAGCCGTAAGTTTAATTTGTCTTTAAATACTCCACTGGTTTTTTTTAGTTCTTTAAGCAATTGCTCTTTTCTTTTTTCTAACCTTTGGATAGTATATAATTGAAAAGTAGGTTTTTGCTCGGGGTGTTCCTCCCGAAATTTCTTTTTCCACTCACCAAAAGAGAGGTCGGGCTCTTCGGTAGCAATTTTAGTTTTCTTTTGCTCTTCCGGTTTGGCTTCCTCTTCTACTTCTTCCCAAGTTTTAAAAATATGTCTTTTGGTAGTTGGTTCATATTCTACTTGCCCTTCTAATCCGTAAGAAGAATAAAAGAACTTTTTATATCGGACTAAATATTTGTTTAAATCTATCTCTATATACTGAAAGGCTGTTAATATTCGGGCTATGCCAGCATTATCCTCCGTTTCGGTTTTGGTTCAGTTAGGTTGGATTTTAGTCCCTCCCTCTTTGGTAGCCACTTTATAGCCCTCTTTTTGAATAATGGTAATATCAGCCTGCTTTTGGGTAGTTTTTAATCAGTCGGCTCGGTTATGATAGCCAAAGGCTCCACTGGCTAAATCTTGTAAGGCTAATAAAGGTTCTTGGTAATTAGTAATAGTTTTAGGTTTAGTTTGGGTTTCCTTTTGGCTTCTAGTTTCGGTTTTGGTTTCAATTTCTCTTAATTCTTCCAATTTATTAAAAACTTTATTCCAAATTAGTTCCTTTTTTCTAATTTCGGCACAATCAAAAACTATTTGGCTCATTATTTTATTGGTGGCTGTATCACTATCATTATAATGGGTATCATGTTTATAAGTATGATAAACTTGGGAGGAATAGGCAATATTAGTAATTAAGTCTTTTACTCGGAAATCTTGGATAAAACGGGGTTTTAATTGGGTGTAAAAAGAGGGAAAGTCTTTAAAGGTATCATAGATAGTTTTAGGCAT